CAGCTGCGGGGCCGCTGACGCTCAAGGCCGCAGCACGGGGGCGGCCATGACAAGCAGCCCCGCCCCCGCCCCCATTGGACGGAGTAGCAGGAAGAGACGGGGCGAATCGTGTTGCCCGGATGCTGCCTCACGGGCAGGCGCGCCTGCGCAGCCCGGAGTGAGGGAGCGGGGGTGTTTTTGGGGAGAAATCACCAGTTTTCACGTGTATCGCCTTAGAATAGCAGGAATCGACGTCACGGCCCATACAGTGACATCAGCTCCCTACAGCCCCTGACATCAGAGTGCCCATCTGAAACCAGCACTGAAAATGTTTTAAATTACTTAAAACAGTTAATTAGCACTGTCCTTGTGCTCAATTACTGAGTTTTAACTCAGAAATGAGACATAGGGTGTTTTCTTCCTCCAGTAACAACTTTCAAATTGTTTCTGTTTAAATAAAGTAATTGGAAAATGAATGGATTGTCCAGAAAGTAGGTTTTAAATTAACGTGATGTAATTACAGTCCAGCTGGAGCATGAACAAGCATCTCAAACTTAGGTTACTACTCTTAAGTTATTAAAAAAACCTCCACACCTCACAGCCATTAAATATTTCAAGTGTTCAGTGAAATTAACACATTCTGATTTAACTTACACTAGGTGAATCGTACTCAAGAAAGCTTAGAAAACACAGTAACAGAAGAGATTGTCTTTTTATTTTAGAAAAAGGAGACGAAACAGGAGCTGTGCACAACAGAAGTGGTTATAAAGTAAATTTAAATGCAGTTAACAGAACTATTCCAGTAGACAGAAAGGAAGCAAAATTCTGCTTAAATTCTGAAACATACTGGTAAAACTAATGTTTTGCAGAACATTATAAAATTAAATTATAGAAAGTTTAAAGTTATAAATAAATATAAAACAGATCTTGTATCTTTTAATTGTAGTCGAGAGTAACATTTCCAACTTTTCTTGCAAATTTGAAGATATATACGAAGAAGACATGAACCGAAGTGTTGAAGTAAAATAGCACCAGTCTTCTGTAGTATGGAAATGGATAGCTTGACACTTTCTTCCTTCTCTCCCACCATTCTAAAATCAATTTTAATGTTGTGAAATTTAGCACTTCAAGCTTAGGGAAATCACAACTGAGAAACTGCTTAAAGGCTGGTTCAATTCGGAAGTGCTACATTTTGCTATTTGACAGGCGCCTGGATACCAAAGCTCACACTCCCACATTCCTTCTCCTGAGCATCACAAGCTAATCACTGCTTCTCCTTGTACAAGATACTCTCAGTGAGCATCTATAGGCTCTTCCCTGGGCTGCACCCGAGTTGCACAAATAAGAAGCCTTCAAATGTCACATGCCTGTCCTCAACACATGCACAAACTCAACATCAAAGCCATCACCATTTCCTTCTACTTAAAAAAAAAATTGTACAAGACAATTTTAACTACTCTTTTGATGTTTTGTTAACAGTTATTCTCTTCTCCTGATGTATTCATACACTAATGAGTTGTCTTTATTAAAATTATGCAGAACCTTTGTAGTGGAAAGTGTTTTAAAATGCTTGTCGCTCAATACAGATGTGGTTTGGCTAACTTTTCAATCCATTATTTGAATGGATTTGCATACCTGCCTGGATACAATGCTTCCACTGTCTTACACGTTTGCTTCTTCTAACAATCTGTCTTAGAAAACTTCCTTTGGGTTATCATACCCCACTGAGACAGAGGGGACCTCTTTTTAATTCCCTCCTTTAGCAAGAGGAAAGTATAAGAAGGGAAGAAAAAAAAAAAAAGTCAATTTGGAGGAGAAAAAGAATCAAGAATGATTGCACAGCAATTAGAAAGAACATCTAAACATCATTCACCGTTTCCTATATGTTGATTTTTGTTAACATCTTCTGTAAAGTCTAACACCTTCTCAAATTACTGTTTGCTACTAACCAGTGGCTATTTTACCTACTTTTCAATACTTAGTCAAGTATTAAGCCCTTACTAAGTACAAAAGAAGTCCTCTGAAATCACTGAAACTGTATCTGCTTACACTTCAGGGGAATGTGTCCCATTTCTTA